AGAGTGAAGCCAGCCTTTTTCTTTTGATATACAGGATTAAAGGGGAAATATCCTTTTCGTAAAGAATATGGTTCGATATGATAAACTCTTACCTTTCAAGATGCAAAGCTCTTTGGTCTTCCCTGCTTTTGAGGTAAAAGTGCTTTCTTTTATAACAATATGGTAGCTATGGTTACCATAGAAACACCTGGTTTCAAGCCAAAACGATGATTAACTTTAGATAAGAACTTCCTTGTCTCTTCTACAATGTCACTGAACCATGGCAATAATTACACAATAGTTATCACGATCACGATCTCAAATTTTGCAAAAAGCGTAATTTTCAGCTGGTAACGTTGACAAATTATCATTATGAAACATCATATTGGTCTAAAGTAGCTTTTAAACGTTGTTTAAGAAGATTTCCTTCAAGTTCTCAAATAATCCGGTGTTTAACTATGGAAACTCCACCGTGTGATAATAAAGGGTCGCTAATGAAAACTAATACGGAAAGGATGTCTTTGACAAGGAAATATTGCCAGCCTCGAGAAACGTTAAGCTTTCCGTTGCATAAGCCGTACACAAAAGCTCTAAACATACAATAACATTCTTATGTTTGCATCAATCAAAAGGGTCCCACTTACAGAGTATGGAACTTCTCTAAAATAAGTAGGGACTGAGTAGATTTTAACGGGCAGGGAAAACTGTATTTTTTTTTCTTTTTGCCTTAATAAATGTTGCACTTGTTTGTGGTTTTGAAAGTTAGTTCTCTAATTAGGAAAGGACTTTAATCAACCTGTCGTGTAATTTTAGTTTGAAAAGCAACTTGCTCTGGCCTCGAGAAAGTCTTTCGGCAAATGCTGACGATTCGCGTTGGAATTTCTCTATCAAAGTTTGCACGGCTCTATTTTGCGCGAAAGCCACAGTGAGCATAACTCACGGACGTTAAGCACATGCAATACAAATGATTTGCTCGAATCTCAAGGGCTTCAGAGCTACAATACAAATTCAAGTTGACAGTAAGGACAAACAGATTAAACGTGATGCGATATAAATTTTCCTTGATATGCCGAATACTTAAAATTAATCGCTAAATATTTTTTACCTAGACAGTTTTTAATAAGTCGTCGACAGTGTAGTTCAAATAAATTATAGGCGCCGCAAAAATGACTATTTTTTTTTCGTCATATACAGTTTCTCGAAATTTGCTTCCGTTCTTTTAATATTACTCGTACTTTATTGAATTGTCCACTGTCTTGTCTCATGCAACGTTAAATCAACACGTAAAAACGACTCGAAATTATTTTAAAAGTTCCTATTCATGTAAAATCGTTCGCTCTTCTTCCTATGGGTTCTTCACCACAAGTTAGACAAAAAGCACGTTTTCCGTCCGCATGGTAAAATCATCTCGACAATTAAGTTTGTGCAGGATGAAACATTTAGCCGGCTTCACGCACTCTGTAGTAGTTTTAGAACATAGTTTAGGCGCACTTTACCAGAATAAGCAATACATTTTCCCCTTTATTTAACATAGCAAATGTTTTGTTCAAGATGACAGAAAAGGCAGATACCAGAAGCTGTTTATGTCTTTCTATAAGACACCAAATGACCTCATTAATAAATTATATCTCATATATTTTACTAGGTTACCTAATTCTTCGGTGGAAGGTTCTCGAATTTTCAAGTTACGCTTAAAATTGTTTAAGTTCTCAGTAGGTGTGATATGCCACTGAAAAATAGCTCAGTAATTTCGAACTTCATTATAATTAAAGAAATAAAACATTGGAAAAATCGTGCGATCCACATTTCTATTCCTAAAGCCTCTGTTGTTTAAATTGCAACTTTAGTAGTCTCAATGCACGAATGGTTTATTTTCTGAAATTGAAAACTCTCTAACAATCTTTAGAACTTAAAGCAGTCGTTACATTTTTGTTTTATATCTGAGGCGAAGAACTGTGCATTAATTCAAGAAAATGTTTCAGCAAAGAATTGTGACAGCTTTCAGGACATGGGGTTTGCCTCAGCTAATGCGTCCGCATTTTTCAGGGAATTCATTTAGCGTCGCTCTTAAGGCCCTGTTTACCATACGAGTTGTTATCAGATAATTGTTTTTAAGCTGTCGACTGGTCTCATTCGCGTTTTCAACAAAACTGAAAATACTTTATTTAGGCAGGCGATAAATTAAATCGTGCTATTTTTGCAGTTATGTATGGACCAAACTGTTCGAATAAAGTTCATGTGGACTTATTTTACAGCGATTACGATCCATCTTTCATTAAATGTGTTTCATTGGCGCTTTGAAACGAAGTAAGTACGTGCATATGTAGAATATGGAATTAACGAGCAAGGAAATGCAGATGTTAGAAATACAGAATATTGTGGTGAAACTTGTAAGATTTCCTCTGCGAAGCATCGTGTATGTTTAAGTCTTCATCCTGAACCTTGCATCTTACACTCATCAAAGGATAAATTATGATTTGCCTGGTTTTTAATCAAGCATTCATGAAATAATCAGTTCAGGAAGTTAAACACTGACTGTCATAGCAATACTACTTCCGCTAAAGGAAAACCACTCATTGATAACTCCTCAAAGCCACGCAAAAAATAGCATTACATTCGTCGTTTTATAATCGAAAACAGAATCCATGGAACCTTTTAGCCATCACGGAAACATTGCAGCATTGAGGTTCTTAAAATCATGTAAGAACATTAAGTAGCAGGCTTGTAGAAAATCAAGGCGGCAAAAAATTCACTAAATTTTATTCGTGCCTTGAATTATGCATTGCCTCCATTTCATTTTCTACAGTCTTCTTAAGAACAGTAATTTATGAAGAAACGGTGTCTATGGTTTTTTTCTCCTTATAACTTTACTTTTATCGTGCTGTCTTGTAAACAAATAATAGAAAAAAAAGGAAAAAGAAGAAAAAATAAAAATTATATGTTTCGCGTAACTTAACCAGCCCACTGAGGAGAATACGGGAACATGGAGAAAAATTAATACTACCTTCATTTGCGGATTTTTGCCTATCTGAGTCACTCACTCACTCATGCCCATTATGCCGTGTGGCACGTAGGGCGGCTTTGCCTATCTGAGAACATAGGTATTTAGGACAATTTTCAAATGTTTCAATTCCGCGCTCAGAGATTTCCTCATTATTTCAGCTGAGACATCAATTTCGATAAAGAAGGTTAACACATAAAATGCTTGGGGAAAAGACAAGTTTAACTAATGTTTTTAATTATTTTGTTTCGTTTTTTTTATGTCGCTGTTACCGCTGTTATATCTTAAATTCCTGATTTTTAGCATAATAAGGCCATCCCCCCCTCCCTCTCCAAAAACGTTAAAAACAACAATGAAACGAGAACAAAAATTGGTAGCATCGATGAACACTTGTCTTTTGTGAAGACACAAGGTTTCTAGAAAGCATTTTCGTGTGTTTTGTTCTCCTGAATTATATTATTTTAAGGAAGACAGAGTCAAAGCCGTCAATAAAAGCTATCCGCAGATTTTTTTTCATGATCGCTAAGTCATGAAAAAGATATTCATTTTCCTCTATAAACCTTTTTTCGCTTTCTTCATTATAAAGGTCCTTGAAAATTCAAAGTTTCATATTCGAGTTTACATGATCGTCTTTGGTTATTTAGACCGATGATCATAGAAAGAGGAAATTTATGCTAATTTCCATTAAGACAAGCCATGGTTGTCGGTTTTTGACTTAGTCTTTACTAGTTGCTGTTACCTTAACTCTTTTTGTATCAGCAAGGAGGAGAAATATAAATAAGGTTGCTCTCATCCGTGAATCGAAGGATAAAAATTTCTTCGCCGTCTGCGACTCACCTTTTCTATAATTCAATAATGCATTCTAGGCTACGATCATGAAAACTGAAACAAATCCCGTGCCTGCTTCGAGGTAACGGTTTTCTGTTTCTACCCGCATGCATGGCATAAATTTAAGTTGATCACCAGCCTTCATCAGTGGATTAAACTTCCAAAATCGACCTGTTTTTTGTGAACGCAACCGTTTTATGAAAAAATAAATTAAAGAAAAAAGCTTGCAGCTGTCGGTTCTATGTGGAAATTAAAGCAAATGACGCAAATGGATGTTATCCGCTTCGCTCGATGAAGAGAATTGGATCTCTTAAGAATAATTATTTATGTTTACATGTTAACATACGTATCAGACACCGAAATCAGTCCTTAGAACAATATTATAAAAATTTAGAATTTATCAATTCTATGATGCACAACGGTCGTGGTGGTGGTCGTTTATGTAAATTTGTAAGCACTTCGTATAGCATTTTATTGTCAAGGGAAATAAATCTCAAGGCTCAAAGCCAATATAACGTTCGAGCACACGAAAGACTCCCTGAAAAAAGCTAAATTGTTGGAAGTTGATTGTGATGAAATCCCTTTCCGCTGGCTGTACTGCATGGATACTGAGTAGTTAAAAATCTCCACTTTGTGATGATTTTGGCGCAAGTCTTATAAATTGCTGTTGTGGTGACTGGGTTTTACATCTAGTACTGCCGCTGACAAGTTGTGATTTCTGCTCTCAGATTCTCAGTGTTTACGAGCGTTCAATCGAAGTTTTTCTCTTTTTTTTTGGGTTGTTTTTACTTCAGGAAGCGGAAATCTGCTGACATATATGAAAGATATCCATTTCTAGTCTTCTTTGGAGTGACCCATGGAAAATTCATGATCAGATCAGGGTATAAGTGATGTGGTCCACTGAGCTCAGACTGAGAGAATATGTAAAAACCATTTAAGCTTATTGAACACCAAGTGTCAGTGAAAACATAACTGTAAAAACTCTCTAAAAATGAATTTTTGTCCAGATATTAGTATTAAGACATTTGTACCACAGACACCAGTTATGTATCTCTACTGTTCTCCAGCAGTTTAAGGACTACATTAATCCTGATGGAACATAACTCACAAGTACTCTAGAATCACTAGTGACTGTCTGGTACAAAATTATTAAGTTAAAATATTTTCCATTCTCATTCTCCTTGGATGTAAATTAGCAAAATAAATCTAAAATTTGTTCAAGGTCTAATTTCATCCCTCTATGGCCATGCATCAGTGCTAATCCATTCAGTCTATCCTGGACCATTGTATTTCTCAAATAAGTCTTCAGATTTCGGAGGGTTGAGATGGACCTTTCACAAGATGCCGATGAAATAGGAATGCTAATCAGGATTCGGAGAATAGTACATATATTCACATAAGCCCCCTTGTCAATTTGTTCCAGGGTGGCATCTATACTGTCAGGGATGTCTTCTCTTCTATCATTTTTCCCCTTCCACGTTCTTTCCCACCACAAAATCTCTCCTGGTAAACCTGCATAATTAGGGATATCCTGTCTGTAATAGTTACAAAATTCCTTAACATTATCATTCCAAATGGGGTCAGTAGGCAACAAAATAGAAGGAATCACTGAAAATCCTTTGTAGTACACAAAAACAGCATCTTCAAATCTGCTTTCCAGTTGCATGAGAGCATGGTTAAGTAAGTCTGTTGTCAGACTGATCCTATAATAGTCTTCAGGGGTTGGGGTTGGTGCATTGTTTCTGTGAACTTGCCCCTGAATTATCCTGGGCATGCTTGGCTATACTGAAACACGTCTTGCTAGGGCAACACCTTCATAGAGAGTACGGTGTCTATTATCAATGTCAGTTTGCATATCTCTTAAGGCAGATTTTAACAGAACAATTTCCTCGTTTGCTTTGAGAAGATCCATTGCTTTCTTTTGTAGCCTAACTGTGAGTAGTCTGGTTAAGTCTAAAATGTGTCTCACAAGAACAAGAGTAAAAAGAAAGGAAAATGTGATTGCATCAATTAAGGCTTGTGCATCATTTCTACTGTTTTGATTTCAGTTCTCATGGCTAGGAGTATTTCTGTTCATTGAAATGTCTTCAAGTATAGCCACAACTGGGTGAAGAAGCTCCACAATTCGGTCCATACCATCAATGCTCTCAATCCACCTTGTTCGACACACATTTACTGGAACATAGTGGTTGGCAGCAGGCATCAGTACTCTAATCTTGCTGATCAAATTGCTGCTGTCGCTTTGGGGAATTGTCAAAAAATTCTGAGAGCTTTCTTACAACATCCATCATGTTTCTAACAAGTGGTAATTGGCATGTGTCAGCAACACACAAGTTAAGCATATGGTTCATACAATGAACGTAAATAGCCTTGTCATGTTCATTGACCCAGACAATATGCCCAGACATATTGCCTGCACCATCATAACACTGGCCACGACAGTCATCCATAGATAGTCCTCAATCACCTACAGCATATAAATAATTATTAAATCTCTGATAGCTGCTCCTGTTGTTCCATCCTCACAAAGTCAGAATTCCATAAATTCTTCTCTGACTGTTTTTTTCGAATGGAGAAATGTGATCACCACTGAAAGATTTTCTATATTTGATATGTCAGCTACTTCATCAGACATAATAGAAAAAAATTTGCTATCCCTGATTTCCTGTGACAAATTATTCAGTATGATAGCACCCACGGTTGTAATCATCTCATTTTGAATAACGTAAAGTAACGTTTACTACCCGACCCATTATGTTCGTTGTGTACAGTGTGGATTCAAGACCTTTCGTCCATCAGTTCGCGAAAAAATTTTTGTCAAATTATTACTCTTTTAGTTTAAAAGTAAGAAATATATTGGCATTAATTTTATGTTACTATTCATATTAGTGTTTACCATAGTTCAGTCCATCCTCGCCGTGGCCAGAGGCTCCCAATGCTGTTTTCCCTTCGCCTACTTCTCAGCTCTTCCAAGCTGAATTCTCTTTCCCCCATCTCTTTTTCAATTTCCAGCTATGAGATTAGTAGCAGGTTTTATTGCGACAATGTTCTTTACTCACGGCTTTTTTCTAACTAAGCGACCTTTTTTCAATTTACCCGTGAAAAAAAACATATATTTATATTTCTTTAGCGAGCTCAAAACCTTACCATCTTTCTTATTCTATTGTTACTCTTTGGGTATGTTCCAAATAACTTATAATTAGCTCAAAAGGTTTCGGCATAAGGTGTTTTATGGTGGAGGAACTCAACTTCCCCTTTTATTGGAGGGTGTACGTTTCTATAGAAACTTTGGTGATGCGTAGAGTGGTAGAGTATAACAGGGTAATTTGGTATTATCAACTGCGTTGATATCTTAAATTGGCTACCGTAAAGAGTTTTACAACTGACGTTTAGAGCGTCAGCCCTTCGTCAGAGCGAATAACGAAGCACTTACGCTCGAAACTTTAGCTTTAAACCCTGTACGGTGGCCAATTTACGTTATGAACTCGGTTGATAATACTAAATTACCTAATTACCTTCCTTATTTTCCGCTGAGCATCATTTAGTTCTAGATATGAAATCATTATGCAGTCCATGGAGAACCTATGAGTACAACGGTAATGACAAAGTATTCTCGGAAATCAATGAAAGTTATGTTTGCAAGTGTCAAGGGCAACAAATTGATCGTTAAAATTAAAAAAGGACGAATGCTCGCTGAACTTTGACATATTCTTCAAAGGAATATAGAGGTAGAAGTTGAATTTATAACTCGCTGGTTTCAGTCTCAAATATTCCATAAACTCGGAAGGCAACTAATGTATGAAAAGGTTCAAGGGGAAAATGAAAATAGACGAGCATATATTCCAGATTCTTTATTTCATCTCTATATGGTTCATCCTTAAATCGAAGAGAGGAACGTCACTAATGGAGAGAATATTTTCCAGGTGTCATAATTACATGTATTCACATCGCTTAATCAAGTCGAAGATTTTTATAAATGAATGTAATAAACAGATTTATACAGCGCCAAATCCACTAATCGTTCATGGTATTCTACATTAAGATTATTGAAAAGCTGAAAGAAAGGGGGAAAAGGTAGAAATATATATATATATATATGTATACGAATAAACTAATTTAAAAATTATGAGATAATTAAACATATTTATCATCCAAAAAAATAAATAAATAAACAGGGTTATAATCTTGTTCAAAAAGATACGTTTTTAAACGTCTTTTAAAACTGTCAATTGAAGAACTAGATCTTATTCCAAGTGGGATCGAGTTTCATAGTCCTGGTGCCGCCAAAGGAAACGTTCTCTCTCCACAAGTCTTTAGTCTCGCTTTCGGGGCCGCCAGAGGGTATTGAGAAGAGGACCTTAGTGTCCCTTTAGAGGTGCAATAATTAAGTCACATATGTAGCAGGGCACTGCTCCATTGATAGCTTTGTAGATCAGTGAAAGAATTTTATAAACTACACAGTGACGGACAGGAAGCCAGTGAAAGTGATAATTCATTGTGTCGTGCAATCTTAAACTTATTACATGTAAAGAATTTGAATAGCAGGCGATAAGAAGGTTTGGCCTCTGGGAAATTCTAAAGTGCAGCAAAGACACGCAAACTTCTGATTACTTAGACGTGCTATTTGTCTCAGGCTCATTGTCAGTTATAACTGAAGCAACCAGAGTGACAGATTACACCTTCTCTGTTACTGGTCACATGCACACAAACAAGCCCGAAAAGGTTATTAAATTAGGTTTTAACTGGTCGTCATTTCGGGCCTCCTTCTGGTGTTGTTTAGTTTTTCGTTAGAATGGCTTGTATAAGAGCTTCTAGCATAGACAGCATTTAGATTTCAGCCATTTCACCCAACACGTTTTCCTACAAGATTCACCTGTTAAGGTATGATTTAATCAAAATAAGGAATACTATACTCCTACAATTTTAAACTATTTTATTAAACAACTTTTAATAATTCTTTCTCATGACCTAGTCCTATAGGCAATACAATAATTAATTTAAAAACTTACCTAAGGCCACTATAAACTATAAATTTGCTCACTACTGACACCAAAGACTCACTATTGCCTCCAAATCTCCTCAAAATACACAATCTTTGAAGTATATCACAGTACGGAGCTATCGTTTGGTAGAGCTTCTTAGATAGCTGATCTTTTCCGACAAAAAACACTACTCCTAACTGACTGAGTCCTTATATACATTCACAACGCATTTCAAAACGAGTATAAGCGATCCTCGCAGCTATGAACACTACTGAACTTGTTGTTGAAATAAGACCTGAAAAAAAACTACTAGTTCATTAGTGTTCATAACTGCGAGGATCGCTTATATTCGTTTCCTCACCGCAGTGCACATACATGATTTTCATATGTTTACAGTCAGTACTTCAAAACATTCCGAAGCTTGCAACACAACTTCCGAAGCTTGCAACACAACTGTTGTGGTAGAGATACATCATAATTACATAGCGTAGATGACGTTATCATTAAAACTTTTTTTTAATTCTTTATTATATAAAACAAATAGATGCCAAGTTGCGGTGCGTCTGTTCAGTAATAGATCACAGAGGACGCCTCGTGTGCAACGTTTTTGTTCTTACCACATTTTGACGGCAACTTGGAATCTATTTGTTGAGTAGACGGGTGATCAAAACTTCTCTGTGATCTACTACCTTACCTGAAAACAAAGAAAAACGATTTGATTACAACACGAAGTGGTGAACGACAACAATGCACAACATATGTGATAGACGTTGTGCTACAATGTCATTCATTTATTTTTTAAATGTTTGAGTTATTAATCTGGATAGGAAAAGATTTTGAATAACGGGAAGTAAATGAAAAAACGTTCACTCACTCACCCATTATGTTCGTTGAGGACAGCGTGGGTTCAAGACCTTTCGTCTATCAGTTGGCGAAAAAGTTTTTGACGAATAATTACTCTTCTTAAGCCAGGAAATATGTTGGCGTTAATTTTGTGTTGCTATTTATATTACTATTTACTATGATTCAGTCCATCCTAATCGTGGCCAGAGGCCCCCAATGCTGTTTGCCCTTTCCCTTCTTCTCAGCTCTTCCCAGCTTCTCCCCATCTCTTTTTTCAATTTCAATGTTTAAGACTAATAGCAGATTATATTTCGACAATGTTCTTTACTCACGGCTTTTTCTAACTGAACTACCCTTTTTTTCAATTCTCCCGTGGCAACTTATCCGCGAAATTTTGTCGCGACAATTTACTCGTTACACATGACCCACGAATATTGGCCACTTCTTTTCCTGTAAAACTTAAATTTAAAAACAAAAACAAAAGAAATAATGGGACCATTACTTTCTCTTGATGAAAGCAATTACCCTGTTGTTACGTTATTTGTTGACATTTGTTACACTGATAATAGCAGTATGTAGGACGGGTGTCACATATGAACTTTAATAGAATATAGAAGTCTATAGTCATATAGAGTCTTTGTGGCTAAGTAGTAGAGCATCGGAACACAGAATCCGAAGGTCTGAGGCTCGATTCCCCATGAGGACTCAGAATTTTTCTTCGTCCCACGCCCGAGACAAGATGATAAAACATCTTTCTTTATTCCTTTGCCGAGCCCAAAATTTTTACCATCTTTCTTTTTCTATTAACAAAACATGACGCTTACGACATTGCTGATCCTAGCAGTTTGCAGGACGCGTATCATGCATGGACTTCCGAGTGGGCCATGCCCACCACAGAGTCTCCTTGGCTCAGTTGTAGAGCATCGGGGCGCAGAGTCCGAAGATTTGAGGTACGGTTCTCATGGGGACTCAGAATTTTTTCTTTGTCCCACGCTCGTGACGAGACGAAAAAAAACTTATTTCTTTATTTCTTTAGAGGGCTCAAAATCTAACCATCTTTCTTATTCTATTTGTTATCCTGTGGGTATTTTCCAAATAAGTCAAAAGGTTTATGCATAAGGTGTTTTATGGAGAAGAAACCCAACTTCCTATTATTATAGGGGGGAAGTTTCTAAAGAAATTTTGGATGGGATACTTAATTACCTTGTTGCCTCCCTTACTTTCTGCTGAGCATCATTTGGTTCTGGATATGAAAATCATTATGAAGTCCATGGAAAACCTATGAGTTCGACGGGAATGACAAAGTATTCTCGGAAATCAGAGTAGGTTTTGTTTTTTAGCGAGTGTTGAGGGCAGCAAATTGAACTTTAAAATTAAA